TCTCTCTCTCTCTCTCTCGCTGCAATGTTTCTCATTCTCTCTTGCACTTGCACTCCCTGGTCCACGGCTTGAACTAGGGCTCTGGGCGTTGAAGACCCGGATCCCCGACAGGCCTGGCTCGCGGACTTCCAGACGCGCGCCCACTTCGAGGTCTGAGCAGTAGCAAGCAGGTTGACGGTCCGGGGCCCGGGTCATTGATGCCTTATGTTCATTTCTTCTGGGATGGAGGCCTCAAGCTGTAGGGCATAAAGGCTTGGAGCAGCCGCCCGAAGAAAACTCCAGTCGAAACAGACAACTCGTGACATGTTGCTCTAGTGCTGATATCACGGAAACGGCAAATCTTGTCATCCTCGCTTTTGAAAATTCTACCAGTGGTTATGCTACAACCCGGCGTTTTTCACAACCCCAGGACAAGGAAATGAGGGGCACACTAGTATAAGTTGTCGTGCTCGTCGTCGTTCCAGCAGGACTCATTTCTGCTGGTTGAGGGAGCCCCAAGGATTAACTTAATGAATATATAAATATACAAATAAGTAAATAAAGTTAAATAAATGAATGAATACAGAAATAAATAAATATAAATATAAATATATATAATATATAAATATAAATAAATAAATAAATATATATATATATATATTTCTACACATACATAGAAGTATATACGCATGTATGACATGTATGTATGTATGTATGTATGTATGTATGTATGTATGTATCTCTATCCAGCTATACATATATAAAGTGTTGCCACCCGACGGAGGCCTTCGAGAGCCACTCCGCCCACCTAGACCTGATGGCGAAGTTCGAAGCCGCCATCGATCCTGAAAGCTTCGCGGCGATCCAGCGACCTTGGCTTCGGAATATCTCGGACGGGTCTAGCGGCCTTAGTGGCGGTTTAGCGGTTGCGAACAGGGTGATTTAGGTTTCGTGCTCAGCATTCTAACTGAGGAGTAGTTTGGTTATCAGAAGGATGCAAGTGAACTCGATTCCTCGGGCAGCAATCCGTAAGCGAAGGTACGCCCAACCGTCAATTGTCCTTCCGGGATGCTTGGCGGCGACAGACTTCGGCCTGGTTTTCTTGGGGAGGTTGAGATTCCAGCTCCAAGTACCCCCATGCAGTCTCAGCTTCAGCTTCAGCATAGGCGGTCTGCTAGTGACTGCTAGTGATTGCTCCAAACAAAGATCCTGATTCAGGAGTCCACCATATCGTGATGTTGGATTTCAAGGAGGGTACAAAGCATGAGGACATTCTGAAACTGCAGACATCCATGCTACTGGGCGGCATGAGGGAAGAACGTGAGTTCGTGACCTGCATTCCGCAGAAAGCCTCAATTGGTCTGATGCCCTGTTCGAAAAAATGTCACAGTTTCCAGAAGTTACTTTCTGGCAATCGCAGTGCGAATCTGCAGGCAAAATCCTTGGCTCATTCACCTCCCACATGCATGGAGGCAGAAGCATAAGCACCGACGGCATTCGAACAAGGCTTTCGAGCTCTTGATGCTGATTTCATTGGCCATGCCTAAACTAAGCGGGATGTTGAGAAAATACTTCGGCTGCAGATCCAGAGAGAATTTTCCGTCTCAGGCTCGACCTCGGTCGGTCTGGTCCTCAGGGGATCAGGATTCTTTGTTTCGATGCCGGGCGCCGCGGTAGGGCCCTGTAGGGGTCATGTACAATCTGCAGGCTTTGGGTCTGAGGCGGCAGCAACCGGCCCTCTTAATTGCAGAGTCTGTCTGTTAACCTGTGTGCATGGAATAGACTCCTCGAAATGCCTTGCTACGACATCGCTTGTTCGAGTGCTAGCGGCTGATTGTTCTCGATCGTCATGACTTGCGACCATTATTATTGCTGAGGAAAAGGCATTGTTGTTTGCGTTGCTGCTGTCGTCCTTTACAGTGCTTTTGTTAGCCTTGGAGTGCGCCTGCTTGCGAGTCCTGAGGTCCCCTGAGGTCCCCGGAATCTACTTACTACCGGCAGCAATGGCGATATCAGAGTTTTTTTTCTTGCTCTGAGGAAGATCAAGGAGGTCTCTCGCATGGCGGTCGCCTTGGCCGACGAGATGCCTGCAAAGCATCCTGCAAAAATCGTTTTGGGCGTCGGAGGAAGTCGGAGCTTGACTAGAATTCGAAAAGACACTCATGGTTCCGGGGAGCATGAGCAAGGAGTCTTTCGGTGGATACTTCGGATCACGGGGCGTTCAGTGGAGATGGGGTGCGTTCTGAATCGGGCTCGCTGGTGCTCAAAATGACTATCCTCACAGCAATGCGGTAAGTATTTAGTGCACTTCTGACTTTCGCAATGCTTATGGCTGCTATGTGCTGCCTCATTCCATGCTTACGTTGTTTCCACACCTAGCAAGACTTCCATAACTTCGACGTTCATTCTTGCGGTGTTGTCCATGAGCAAAGCATGAGAAGTTGTTCGTACTGGTCTTGACCAGCCAATGACGGTCACACCGGCGACAACTGCCCGCAGCCGGTAATAGGATCTTAGTGTCAGCATCTCAGTGAGTGTCCAGACCTGTTCCGTAAAATATAGCGTGATCATAGTAAGTCAAAATGACAATTCGCGTGAACCTGTCGCCTTTTCTAGGCAGGCGGGCCAATCTGGCGGAGATCGCAGCAACCGAAGTCTGCTAGCCCTGGTCGATGCTTGCCCGCTTGTTGGATCTGTAAGTACAAGTGTGATTCAGAGCAGTGTGTTCCGGGGCTGTTTGGGCCTCTAGGGCCCCCAAATATCCTGACTGTACAGTTGAAGCTGGCAGAGGCAAGCATATGATGCTATAGTTCTGCAGCAGCCGTGACCTCAACACACCGATGTCCGCTTTATGCATTACATGCAGGGTCCGTTCCAAGATGTTGAGGACTTTACTTCGATTGAAGCCTACCAGGCCGGATTGCATGTTTATTACAACAACAACAGGAGGCCTGCAAAGGCTTTGGGTTGAAGGGTTTTCGAAGCAGGGCTGTGGATTGTTTGTCTTTGCGGCAAGTCAAGAGCATAAGGAGGGGTGTGAATCAAGCGGGTGTAGCTCGCGGACTTGTCAAGATGCAGATAGACAGTGTAAGTCCTGCTGCTAAACTGACATCACGGGACACTATCAATGCTGCTTGGTTTCTTGTTCCACCCCAATGCTCTGAAAGGTGTACGAGAAGCACCCGGAGCACCTTGCATGTATCGAGCAGAACATCAAGCCGCTACTGCTGCCTGGGTCGCGTGCGGCTATCCAGCCCCTGAACTTGCATGTTAGGACTGGAGGCATGAAAGAGCCTCTGTTTTTTTTGAACTCAACAGCCAACAGCATGGAGCTATCAGCAGTTTTCGCAGCCGTGACTAGTCTAGGGTTGACAGGTTTCAGCTTATACTACTACTTACTACTACTACTACGACGACGACGACGACTACTACTACTGCTACTCCTACTCCTACTCCTGCTCCTACTCCTACTCCTCCTACTGCTACTACTACTACTACTACTACTACTGCTACTACTACTACTACTACTACTACTGCTACTACTACTTCTACTTCTACTACTTCTTCTGCTACTGCTACTTGCTTCTTGCTACTTGCTACTTGCTACTTGCTGCTTGCTGCTTGCTGCTGCTGTTGCTGCTGGTCCTGCTGCTGCTGCTGCTGCTGCTACTAGTACTTGCTAGCATACCAATAAGTACTTGCAGCTCGAAGAAGATGATGCCGCCGCGCACTGCATCCAATCTCCCCGTCTCTTAGGCCTGTGGAAAGAAATGTGTATACCCGCAAACCACTATACAACACTGTCTTGCTATCCACATGTTTGGTGCAAGCGTACAGTTGGCCCAACTTTCAACCGACGCCGCAGGTATGTGAGCTGAAGCCTGACATTCGGTGAGCAGAGGAGAACTTCTCGCAAACGGCTGCAGCAAAGATTGCTACCACCATGGAGTGTCCTTATCACACTGACTGAAGTAAAGTACGAAAGGTACCTCAAATGTGGAGCCCAATGGTGGGCACCCTGCAAATTGCGCCGGAGCGAGGGTTTAGAAGTGCTGAGGCACCGACAGACGAAGATCATCCGTGTCACCGCGACAGCATCGATTTGGCTTGATTCGAGACAAAAGCTGGACTGAATAGTGGCTGGTGCTTTTGAAGATCCGTTGATGTTCGGCCGTCTTAGGACCTCACGGGTCCCGTAGCCACCAGGCTCAAGGCCTCGTGCTGTTACCGAGTTTGGAACTCGCAAGTTGAAGACGCCCTGCCTGCTGGTATCCAAATACCGAGCTGTTCTACAGATTCTACACAGATGCTGTGGAGCTCATGAGCTGAGATCCTGCAAATTCACACTGGCCTTGGCCTTGGCATGTCAGGGTGCTCACTCCCTCTTTGCGGGCGTTTTCATCCAGAAGATGCCCACAGACCTGTGGTGTTACCAGCAGGCTGTGCATAACTGGGGGTCTACAGTCAGCTCGTGCGACTGCCGGCTTGCAGGGCTTCAGGCTTAAAGTCCTGCACTGTTTTCGCACAAGAGTCAGGGTCCTAAATCCAACATCCAGAGTGTTGCCCCAGAACATGGAGGTCATCCATGATCTTCGACCCATGTACATCATCGACCTTGGCAGCTCCCAAGGAGGCCATGGCAGACTGGTACACGCAGCAACACGAGAAAGCATGGTCCAGCCTTTTTTTGATCATCTCATGGGCACTGTATGTGGGGAAGAGAGGCTAAGGGCGAGGGTTCAAGGCCGTCGTTTCGTGGAGTCGAGCAGCATGCCGGTGAGTGTATGGAGAAGCTCAAATTGCCTGTGAAGGCAGCGCCGTATGGTTCGCGTCCATGCTGAAGCTCTTCGATATTCCGGGCAAGGCCATACCTAGAAGACTGCGAGGAAGATCTCAAGTGTGACCACTGAGGTATGAAAACTGTCATGTTCGCGGTCTTAAAGCTTCCATAGCCCGACACCCACGAGCGACTCTAGCCTGGTTGCAGCTATGATGGTCATCATGTTTAGTTTGTACTTGCATGCCAGTCAACACCGAAAGCATTGCTAGGATGACCATTGCATGTCATCACCACTGCACCTGCTTCCAATTGTCGATTCTTGCTCCCGTTCTTCGGACTGGCATTGCTAGACCCATTGTTTCGCCCGGAGCGCTGTGATGGCGGTTGGTATGAGGTGATTTCCGTCGACTTGGCCCTGGAGCAGGCCTATTGGCCCGGTCCTCGTTCAGAATTGGCTAGGCGTGGCAGTATTTGAACTTGTCTCGCCTGGGACGGGAGTAAGGCTGAATAAGGTTAAGTAACACCGGATGAAAAAGAAGTTCTCAATCCACGTTCTCAAAGACAATTGCATGAACTGCTATCTGCTGGGATGTCCGGATTCTATGCTTGCAGCATGGTGGCGGGCTCATTGCATGACATGTGTGAGGGCATTTACAAGATCGTAGCCTTGTGCAACTGTCGAGTCATCAGCCGGCCGCAATCTCCTCCAGAGGCTCACGAAACAGCGAGCGGAGGCTGCTGTGCAGCGGCTTAAGCTCGAGGCTTTCGTGGATTGGTCTGCTTCCCAGTGTGAGTTCGCTCGGGGCTGTATTCGGACTATTGGCTTCCTATTGGCACGCTCTGTTTGGTGGATTAGTTTACTAGTGCTACTGCTGATCCTCCGCCTTCTCCTGCTGCGCTGCTGCTGCTGCTGCTGCTGCTTATTACTACTACTACTATTATTATTACAACTACTACTACTACTACTACTACGACGACGACGACGACTACTACTGCTGCTGCTACTACTGCTGCTGCTACTACTGCTGCTGCTACTACTACTACTACTACTACGGCCACCTACAACTGCAAC